AAGTCCCTCGGCCCTTAAAGGGGAAAGGTTGCCTACTCCTGTGTTAAGCGCTGTGCAGATTTTATAGCACTCTATGAATAAATTTTAATAATAATAATAACTGCAGTCTGTTGTGGCACCAGAGCTCTCTGACAGAGAAGGCTAAATGTCTCACAAAACTACAAATCCCAAAACTCCATACCACTGAACCATGGCAGTTAAAGTGGTGTCAAACTGGATTATTTCTGCAGTGTGGACAGAGCCAGAAGTCTCCCTTCTGCAGATGGATCCACACTGCAGAAATAACCCAGGTTGAAACCACTTTTAACTGCCACAGCTCAGTGCTATGGAATTCTGGGAATGGTAGCTTGTTGGGGTCAGAGCGGCCTCAGAAGAATTTCCTTTGGCTTAAGCGGAGTGTGAGTGTGTGTGGGGGGTTCTCATGGACACGGTTCGTATCGCGCTGCACGTGAGAACGGCGTACACGGGTGTGGAGCCGAAGAGGCCTAGCGCAGGTAGGGCTGGAAAAGAGACAGAGAGAAAGAGCGTTGCCATGGCGACAACTCACACCGCGGTCCGTTCCCTCCTCCACTCCCACGCACCGCCGGTTGCCATGACACCCACCCAGCCAATAGCGGACCGGGTTGGGAGGCGCAAGCGGAGGAGGTGGCTGGGGTGGGGACGGAGTTTCGCGGTGCACGGAACCGGAAGTGTGTCCCGTCCGTCTTGGGCCGCGGCCGGAAGTGAGGGTTGAATGGTGGTGGGGAGACCTGAGCGGTGAAGCTCGCCGGGCTCCTGGCCTCCCTCCTCCTCGGCGCAGGGTGGCGGCGGTAGCAGTGGCGGCGGCGGCGGCTCGCGCGGGTCTCGCGAGACTTGCCTTGCTGGAGACGGAGACGGGGACGGTTCCTCCTCTCGCGGCGGCCGCCTCTTCCTCCTCCCGCTCCCTCCTGGCCCCCCTCCTTCAGGAAGCGCCTGGGCCTGACGCGGGAAGATGGCGGCGGCCGCAGGCGGCGGCCGAACGGGAGGAGGAGGAGGAAGAGGAAGAAGAGGCGGTAGTGACTGCGGCTGCGGATGCGCCGGCGGCTCCTGGGCGCCGGGAAGGCCCGAGCTGTGAGGCTCCGGCGCTGGGTCAGCGTGGACGGGCGGGCGGCGAGCGGAGGCGGAGGATGAGCTTGCTGTGCGCTCAGTATCTCCGGTGAGGAAGGGGGGAGTAATATGGTGGATTAAGCAATACGTGAAGAGGGGGCCTTAGGTTAGTCTATGTCTCCCTTTACCCCCCCCCCCC